TCACAGCTGCGATGGCTTGGGCATGTGTTGCGAATGCCTCCAGAAAGGAAGGCTAAGCAAGTGTTCCTTGCAAATCCGACCGGCAAAAGGCCTAGGGGGCAGCCAAGAATAACATGGTGCAAACATATGGAAGAGTCTGTTCCAGACTCCAGTTGTCTTCTGTGGAAGCTCAGACTCTGGCACAGGATCGGGAACGTTGGAAGCACTGCCTGACATGCCTGCCTCTGTAATCTGAAAGGAGACGCGGCCATCGAAGATGAGGGTTAAAAACATCCGCCAAAGCTAATGTTTATCGTCTGATTCTCTGGTTGCTACTGCCACTACGTTTTCACACGATACTCTAACATTAACAGCTGAGGGTACCAGCAACAGAGGGGTGAATGGTAGACAGCTCCACTCTTCTCTTGTTGCGAACATCCATTATTGAACGTCTTAAGTCAGGCGATACGAATATCAGATCGATCATCGACTTCTAACCACAAGCTTCCCTGTAGGAAGTATACCGATTCTCTTTTCCGTCCTCAACAGACAACCCGTTATTGGCATAGAACCGCAACAATTTCATGCTGTTATTGTTGAGGTCGCTAATGCCGTTTCTCCAATCAAGCCTTTCCACTTTCCAGTGTCAGTTCCGACATGCGCTGCATTGTAATCTGCCACATGGCACGCCGGCTGGGTCACCCGACGGCTTCCGTTTGCGATCACTGCGAAAGCATGCCTCTTCCTTAAAAGCCGGAAGTCAACGTCACGAGGAACCCATCTGGAACGGCGTCTATACAAGTGGAACAGGAAGACGAAGTCCTTCAGTACGGGGAGAGGTGTAAGTATTTCGGCTCCATCTCGTGCGATGGCCATCTTCGATCATAACTAAATAGGAGAATCACCCTAGGATCGAGTGTTGATTGGCGCCTATCCAATATATGGACTAAAAATGGAATTACTCTTCGGAGGAAAATCCTCCTGTACCTTTGGTTTGTCAACGGGATTAGGACAGTTGTTCGACCGATGGCAAACGGCGTGTAGATACATGGGTTTTGGTGCATAATGATTGCTAAATTGCAGAACCGTACAGCGAATATTTGTGTTCTTTTCGGGCACAGGTGACCCAGGTAGATGCAGAAGTTCAGAAAAGGAAGTTCGCCCATGTTTGACTAACAGATTTGGCATACACTATTTATCCCAGCAACTGCGCTTCTGACGTGGGAGTGGCAACACGGCAGACGTCGACCGGTAGGCCAGAAGGCAACATGGATGAATGAGGTAGATGCAGAAATGCTTTCAGACAGAAAAATTTTTTCCACTATGTAATAACCGGTGCCTTGTAGCAAACATGTTTGAGAAGCGGCGGATATAGCAGAAATCACAATGCAGAGACGTCCTGCTCATGCAAGTGGTTCAAGATGGTGATCTTAAAAACCAATGGTAATACAGCAAACGGTGCTTAGGAAAGCCTGACAATGGCTCGATTTTGTGGCAAAGTTTTGGAGAGGCCTTCAGCAGCAGTGGATCACCCAAGACTGATTTGAATGATTAAAATTTCAGTGTTATATATTTATTACTGACAACATCACAACCAACATGACGAAGCATTGAAGCAGTGATTTGCATATATGGTGAGAGAGAGAAAATGATTTCTGACTTCTTGCTTGCCAGCGAGCAAGAGGAGCTCACTGTTTGCACATTTTTCTCATGCGTGAACATGCAAACGTGATCAGGAAAAAGATGATCGATATAGCGAGCGCGACTGCGAAAGAAGGCAACGGGTACTTGGTTATTAAGTAGTACAAATCGTTGTACAGTTCCTGGCCGTGTTTTTCGAATTCATCAAAAGGAGCGAACGTGGTCTCGTTGATTTTGTTGAAGAGGTTCTCCGCAGCCTTGGATATAGTTGCGTTTTCGTACGTTAGAAAGCTGAGTATGGCGTTCGCCAAACCGGTCTTTTTCAGTATCCACTCTTTCACCTTTTCGAATATGCGCGCAGCGCCTGACGACGTGTCTTTTTGCTTTGGCCGTTCGGCGAATATCTCTTCCAGCACTACATCAGTCAAATGATCAGACAAAGCCGCCGCCCTTGAGTTCTCTTTATTCCGGTGTTTCAGAGTGGCTGCTGAGTTCAGGAAATAACCGACGGGCACTCGCACCGGCTTTGAGGCGTTACTGACGTTCCCCTGGATTATGACACCACCCGTCAGAGGTTCTTTTGTCTTTTCCGTAGCAGTAGACCCAGTTGCCCTTGACGAGTCGGTTGAATTCGTCGAAGACAGGTTGACACTCCCATGCAGCTGAATAAGAGCAATCAATGACAGAAACCAAAAACACGTCATGTAATCTGTTCCTTCCTTCAGATTGCGCAGAAATGCACTTACCACACCAATGTTAAAATTATTCTGGGATCCATGAAGCATTTTGAAGCTGACGGTTTAAACTGATTTTACAACACAAAGCCTTGCAAATATCTGAGCCCTGAAATTCGTTGATGAGTGTTTAATATTTCAGTTAATGTGAGTTGCACTGTGGTCGTGTTCTTGTTGGAACGGCTCTCGCCGTCACGGTTCCAATGACCAATAAATCGCTGCTTCCCTCTACTGTTAATCGATGCCCGCAATGTCCCCCACCTACTGTAAGTCAGTCTGTCTTCCAGCGTCGGTACACGTTCACTGCCTGCCACATAAAACTTCATGGTCAGCTCTCATAGCGCTCCACTGGCTCTAAACATGTCCGTCTCTCTTGCAACGTCACCCAGGGGTTGGGATGGCATTCAGTGTAATGAAGCTGATATCGTCTGACAGACGCGTCAGAACATGACCAAGCCAGCATAGCCGAAGTTCTTTCAGGACAATTGACAGCCTTATTACGTTGCAACTGAAATGGCTCGTAGCGTCACATCTATGGTCGATAAATCCTCTCGAATGATGATTCGCAAAACTGAGGTAGTCGATGGATCCTAACCTCCAAGTCTTCTGCTATTTAGATAAATCACTGATCTGCATAAACGAGGACGAGACTCGCACTTTAAGTCTTTAATCCAAGCTTCTGAAGATTCCAAAGCTCGAGGAAAGCCTCGCTGTTGCTCGAGCAAGTTGCTCGGCACTGTGAATAACCAAAACTGAAAGTCACCGTTGCTGAGAACTAGTGACAACTAAAGTAACCGATCGGATTCAGC